AAAAAACAAACAAACACGAAAGTTTCCAGCAACCAGCTTGGTGGATTGCAAGGACCAGAAAGGAAATACAAGCTTACACACTTTGTGCACCTGTATAAAGTTGGAGAAAGTGTCAGATACAAGCAGAACCAATGAAAAACATCTCCCACACGAAGACAGCCACTAAAGATTTGTGGAGTGACCACCACTTCAAATGCTAAAATAGCCATGGGAAACTCCAAGGAACATGAAGAATCAAGATATCAAGGACACATGTCATCACCAAGAGATGAGGACAGCCATCCTGTAACTGAACTCAGACTTGGAGTTTTGCCATGTAGCTGACCAAAATTTCAAAATAGCTGCACTGGTGAAACTCATCGAGTTATGAGAAAAGAACAACAACATGTGAACCAAAAGAGAAGTTTAACAAAGAGGTAGAAAAAATACAAAAGAGCCTAACAGAAATTCTGGACTCGAGGAATTCAGTTAATGAATAAAATTAATGGAAGAAACTGGACGGCATCTACCACAGAAAAGAATGATTAGAGTTCCAGAAAAGGGAGAGAGAGAGAGAAAAGGGGTGAAATCTTATGTAAAGAAATGATAACCAAGAACTTCCTAAACTCAGGAAAATACTTGGACATCCAAATTCAAGACTAATTAACACACTGAAAGGAAAAAGAGGCCAGCAAGAATGACTTGTCTGGGAAATTTTCTGGAGTTATGAAGACTAAAGATTAAAGAAGATTAAAAACTTTGGTCTATTTAATTTTTTATAGTGTTTTCCTCTGATTTTGGAATATCAGTATCAGGATAATATGTAGTGTCTTCATCTGATTTTGGCATCAGGATAGCACTGGCCTTGAAGAATGAGTTTGAGAATGTTCCCCCCTCCCTTCCACTTTTTGGGCAGAATTTGAGAAGGATTGGCATTCATTCTTCTTTGGATATTCAACAGAATTTGCCAATGAAGCCATCTGGTGTCCTGGGATTTTCTGTGGTAGTGGGTCTTTGATGACCCACTCAGTCTCCTTGATTTTTATGTGTTTGTTCAGATTTTCTATTTACTCCTGATTCAGTTGTGGTAGGTTGTGTGTTGCTGGGAGTTGATCCATTTCTTCCAGGTTTTCTCATGTGTGGGTGCAGAGTTGTTGGTAGCAGTCCCTTAAACTCCTACATATTTCTGTAGGGTCAGTTGTAATGCTTCCTCTTCAGTTCTGATTTGATTTGCGTTTTCTCTTATTTTTCTTCTTAGGTGGTCTAGCTAAATATTTGTCAATTTGGTTTGTCTTTTCAAATAACAAACTCTTAGATTCATTGATCTTTTCTTTTTCTTTCTTTCTTTTTTTGGGGGGTGGGTGGGCGGTGTCTATTTCATTTATTTCCACTCTCCTTCATTACTTCTGCTAACTTTGGGATTAGTGTACTCTTTTTTTTCATTGTCCCTCAAGGTGTAAAGTTAGGGTGTGTAGTTGAGATCTTTGCAATTTCTTAACAGATGCATTCATGACTACAAACTTCCCGCTCTGAAAGGCTTTCACTGCAACCCATACATAGGTTTTGGTATGTGTGTTTCCATTTCATTTGTTTTGTTTGTTTTTGTTCCTGTTACGATTTTTTTCTTTGATCCTTTTGATGTTCATGAGTGTTTTGTTTAGGCCTGTAGCCACTGGAAGGAACGCAGCCCAGCTCAGCACTCATGCAGCCCACGGGACTGCGCCAGACCCCTGGGCCAGAGAACCCCGTGGGTGGGGAATGCGCACTGTTTCCAGCACGGTGTTTGCAGCAACTTCTTACCAGAGCAGCAGGACCTCGAAAAGCAGAACGTGGGGTACACAGTCTTCACTCTAATGGGATAACTTCCTTCTGAAAGTAACACGACTTGTCTTCTGACTTAATTTTCCATGGATTACTTGTTCATTCTGAAAAGCAGAATCAGACCAAAATCACACCTGCAATGTGTGTGTGTGTGTGTGTGTGTGTGTGTGTGAGAAATGGACGGACAAGGTGGATCACCTCTGAACCCACCATTTCAGGGGGTTTCAGCCGTTTGAACCCTATTAATGTTCTAGGCAGTCCAAGACACAGTTACACCCTAAGACACGGGAAAGCACACTCTGATGTGAATATACACAAATAAAATTAAAGACATTACATTACATCCCACCAACACTGGAGCCACAGGGTAAATCGGGAAAATATTGCGTGAATTTCTCAGGAGCAGGGGTTGGAAAGGTCAGGGATATGGGTCCCAGCTCTGCGTAGCCCTACCTGCCGCTGGAACTCCAGGACACCAACCAAGCCCAGGA